GGACACATGGTGAGCAGGGTTTTTTTTTCATCTACTTCTCCAGCGTGTTTGGTCTTGATGGTCACATGGTGAGCAAGGTTCTTTCTCTTCTTTTTCAGTGTGGCCGGTCCTTAATGCTACAGACATGTGGGCAGCTGGTTGCTAAATTCCCTAGACAGGCTATGGAAGACCCGTTCAACCAGCGGCTATTTTGGGGTTGAGTGCTACATTTCTATTGGTTAAACACAATGGACTTGTCTTTTTTTTCAACCTGAGAAAATATGTATCTTGTAATTGGTCCCTAGGTCAGAAAATCAGGACACCACATCCCATCTTAGAGCTACGACATATAAAACCAAACTTTTGGGAGTTCGTAGGTGTCAATATGCATTAGTATGACCATGAAAATACCAACAAAAAATAATCAAAAACAGGGGGTGCCTTCCCTGGTGTAGATACATTTTTTATTGAGCAAATAGCAAAATAAAATAATACTCACAAAAGAGTAGTATTCTATTTTGTGAGTATTATTCTATTTTGCTATTTGCTCAATAAAAATGCATCTACACTAGGGAAGGCGCCCCCTGTTTTTGTTTATGTTTTATCAGATATCACAGTCTCCCTGCCTGATGTGGGGCAGCGACCTGCAGAACTTCTGTGTGCATATGTCTTCAGTGGAGTGGTCGACTCCAGCGCTATTGGCTTTTATTTTCATGAAAATACCAACATACCACTTAGTTCGAGCCGACCTGTGACAATGAAACTGTCACAGGTCGGTTCTATTGATCGGGAAGTGAGCGAATGCATACCGTCGCTCACTCACTTTCCGATCATCTCCTTGCAGAAAGCGGTGACTAATAATCCCGCAGGAATTCCCCCCTCCCCGCACCGATCCTCCAGCGCTGACTGGAGAAACAAACGGGGGAGGGGGCGGGCACATCTGGCTCTGCCTCTAGATAGGCAGAGGCAGCTGTCATTCACACATCTGGGTGGATCTCGACAGCATTGTCGGGATCCGTCCTGGCTGCGGCCGCTGAGTATAGCAATAGCTCGCTATATACTGAGCTTTGGGTCACGGGAGGACGCTAGTATACGGTAATATAGTAAAAAGGTTACCCCATAGTTCTCTTTTAAGTAGAACATTTTCATAGGTATCTGAACATCAGTCCAAAAAGAGGGACAGCTGAGGAGGAAAGAGGGAAAGAGGGTTCTGATTCCAAATGAGGGACAGTTGGGAGGTATGAAATCACCAGTCCTGCCCTCTTGCATCACCCATGCTCAATGTATAAATTTACCTTTTGTTGCTTTTCCACGGAGGCGTAGTACTTTGACCACCAATCAATGACATTTTCTGCAGATTCATCAGCAATCGTCCTCTTCTTTCTTTTTGTTGAACGCCTGGTGAAACCTCTCACTAACTCCTGTACAGAGAAGAAAAATGGGCGTTAATGCAGAGGTGGCAAAAGCTGGCAAGACCTCACCTCCACGTTCTATGCAGTGCTCTACAATCCTAGATTTTCACCTCTTCAGACAAGCATATAATTCCATAGACTCCATACTAGTCCCGAGGAAGTGACTTAGAGTACAGGTTCAGCATCACTGCCCTGGACTCATTATGCGAAACAAGAGTCAGGAAATGGCCTCAACATAATTGCTCAAACTTCATGACAGGCAAATAAGGCAGTTAAAAAGTCTTGTTGGGATGGATAAATAGAGAGTATTGCAAAGACTGGGGACTAAAGGCTGCTGAAGGTCACTTCAGTGCTCGTCTGAAGGCTAAGGCAATTGGTCACATGATCTGGATCCACCAATTTGAACTCTGATCCATTCTTCTAGTCAGGATAACAGGACCAAACTCCTAGGCCTTTAGATATGTGACCAACACTCGGGGAGGACTTGAAGCAGCATTTTCTCCAGGAAAGGTACAAACTTCAGATGTTTTATTATTCTTTATTTATCCATCCCAAAAAAATTTGTCCAACTCTAGCCAAAAATGTTTTGGAGGAGGGTTAGAATATTATGTTTTTATTGCTACCTGTGACCTCATTGAAGAGTTTTCCCCTCAATGCCTTGCCCTGTGACACCAAGGCAAGAAATTAAGAAAACAAGCATCACATGGATAGATCCAAAAATGCATGCACTGCTCCAGGTGGATCTGTGCTCAATACCCCAATCAACACTGCCACTCCCCGAGCCACCACCATGCTGTCCTCAGGTGTGGCCCACCCATGTAAATAATTTTTCAAGCTAGTGCATAACAAGGAGAATACCACATTCTGGACTGGAGGAGACATCTTTATTCATCACAGTAATATATGACCTTCTGTGTTCTGTGCTGTTTATAGTGCTTTCTCAAAGAGTCACAGCAAAAATAAATGACAACATTTCTTACCTTCCCCATACTACTAAAACAAAAAAAGGGCTTTTGTTGTCTTTTCTGTCCCCACTGAAACCCTCTGGCTTTAGCCCAGGAACGCCATATAAATTACTGAGATTCAGAGAGTTCCTCTGGCCCGCCTGTGACGGCAGTAGTGACATAAGGAGACAGAGCGGAGCTGCCCTCTATCTCTCCTCTAAGCCCACTAAAAGAAACTGTGATTGGGGGCTCAATTAGAGAGCTTTACCTGCACTTCCTGTCCTGCTGACAATGGTTTTACCATACAGGAAGGGAAAGAAAATTTGCAACAAGAATACAGACAGAAGTAAAAATCTGACAGGGGTTCTAGCCTTCCCCTACTCTATAAAAAAAACAAAATTTTTTTCTGTCTGTGTTGCTGTTGGAAGGTTACACTCACTTCCTGTCTGGTAAAGCGTGGACAGGAAGCAAGAATAAATCTCACTAACGATGCCCTGGAACATTGGCCTAACAGTGTCTGTGTGTAGGTTCACAACCTGAGCCAGCACTACAGGAAGAGGCACTCAACTGCAAAGGGAAGTTCTCCCCAAGCATGAGAAGAGATACAGATTTAAAAGGAAGAGCAGCAAAGAGAAGGGAAACTACCACGGATTACAGTAAGGCACACATTACAGTATTGGTTTAAGGATGATGCAGCCAAAACACAAAATTCATCTGGAAGGCCAGAAATGCCTACTTGCTTAGGTATTCAGTGAACATTTGCAGTTCTTTATATTTTTTCATCTATAATTGTGTAAAGATCTGACTTGCACAAATTTCTGTTATTGCTCATTGGCTGGGGGCTTGCATGTGGTATGTGGGAAGTGCTGGAATGCTGATCCAGAAGACAAAAGGGTAGTGTAAGGGTTATAAGGTGGGTAACTGGAGATGGAGGGGCATATGATAGGGCAAGTGCGCTGGGAACCCTGTACCAAAAATTACCAGCACTGGTCTCCTGCTGTTTCCTCTTATCATGAATATGATAGGAAGGAAATTATAGTAAGGAAAGATTTAGCTTTGACCATATTAACTATACAGCTTGCAGCTACAATTTTTACAGGAAGGAATCATCATTAAAGTCCAACTAGATTTCATTC